AAGAAAAAGAAAGAAATCAGGGATCAAGTCAGTTTCTGTAGGGCCTTGTAGATAAAAGCATTTTATTTTCACTCATTTACCCTTGGTCTCTTTCCCATTTCTGCAGCTACCACCTTGAGACAATCCTTCCTACTTCTCATTTGAAGTATTCTGTTGGCTTCCTGGGGGCTATTTTTGCCCCTTGTCTCTCCCTACTCTAATCCTGCTCATGGTTGCTATAATCTTCTTGGAGCACAGTTCTGATCATCATCATCATAAGATCATTAGCATACATTTATGTATCTCTGAATAAAAATATACTTTGAAAGGAGGGGGACGGACACAGGAGATATGTTCCCACAACTTCCCAGCATGTCCTTGTCAGAAATAGAACTGTCAAAAGTACGTTGTCAAACATGCCAGAGTTCTGTTTCTATGCCATCATGTAAAAACTGCAAACTTTTCATCAAAATAAATAAAGATGAATTAGCCACAGTTCCTTTAATTGCCACTAACAGAAACTTAGTTCAAGTATCTTTCAAAAGATAATATACGTTAGCTCACATAGATGAATATTTGACATCTTCAGGAATGGCTAGATCCAGGTGCTCAGCCAGGGCAACAAGAAATCCATTCTCTCTCAGATTTGCTTTTTCTCTCTGTTGTCCTTGTTCTCCAGAAGACTCTACTCATGTAGTGGTAAAGAGGGCCACCATTGTCTTCAGCTTTGCAACCCCAGTGGAGAAAGAGTGCCTCTTTCAACAGAAGTCCCAATGCTGACTCTCATTGGCTTGCCCTGGACAAAGGGATTACTCCTCAACCACTCATTATGTCCACAGTTAGCCAGTCCTGGGTCATACAGCCAACTCTGGAGTCAGGGACTGAGGTCAACCTCACTTGAGCTACATGGATAGAGAGTGGAAGATGGGTGGTTCCCAAAGGAACATTTAGTATTCAGGGTGGAGGAGGGATGGTCACCACGTCCAGCTAATTTTTTGTATTTTTGGTCGAGAGAGAATTTCACCATGTTGCCCAGGCTGGTCTCAAACTCCTGGGCTCAGGTGAGCCACCCACCTCAGACTCCCAAAGTGCTGGGATTACAGGCATAAGCCGCCGTGCCCAGCCGCAGCTGTCCCCCCAAATATTTCAAGTAGGCATCTACTGAGACTTAATACCTACACGACAACCTTTTGAAATAAGTAGGCTTATTTCCATTTTGTGTATGGGGAAGGTGAGGCACAGACATGTTGACCACCTTGCCCACTATTTTTTTCACACAATCAAAATATAAAGACTCTGGAATTTGAACCCTGCGCTCTCTGACTGCTGAGTCCCCTTAGAAACCTGCACGTTATTCCATTTCTATGAAGGGGAGGGAAAGAGCTCCTCATATAAGTCACCACACCTCTCAAATCACTTGAAACTCACCAGCGGCCATGACTGTCCCCTCAAGGTAAGTAGGTAGACAGATTTCCCCTCATTCTACTTCTTTACTGGGCAGACAAATGGAGCAGAACCAGAACTAGTGACTTGGTGAGGGAACACTCAGAAAGGTAGAGGAAGTGGTGGTGCTAAAGCATCCTGCTGCCTCTCATCTCAAAGATGCTTCCACCAAACGAATACCACCCACCTTCGAAAACAGTCATTGTGGTTGGAACAATATTTGTATAAAAATAACCGACTGATCTTAATCTTGCTCCCTTTCCTTGTAGGGAAAATGTCTGTGGCTCTGGTCTAGTCAGTGCAAGAGGGGCTTCCTGCCTGGTGTCCAGCACTGAGGGGAGTCACAGCTGTGGTCAGCCTCCCTCTGCGGCCCCTAAAGCAAGCAGAGAGCACCTTGGACCTCGTGTTGGGTACCTGAGCAGGCAGCCATGCTCCCAGGCCCGCAGAAGATGGGTTCATGGCTCTGCTCAGAGACCTTTTGAAAGCCCCATTTGCCTCCAGCTCAGAGGACCCTGCGCCCCCCTACAGTCTGGCCCCTGATGGGTTCGAACCACAACTCATAACCCACGTGCTGAGGGAATTCTGATGAAAGCTCTGAAGGCTCCGGGTCTTGGGGAAGACCAGATGGGCCTGAAAGTCAGTCTCAGCAGAGACGCCCAGGGGTGCATGGGCCTTAGGGAGGCCTGGCTGTCGCAAGCAGGGGCTGGAGTGAAGCAGCTGGTGGAGAAAAGGGATGCAGGTGTGAGCCTGGTGAAAGGGTGGACTGGCAGTGCTCTGCAGAGAGCACCTGCAAACAGTGAGGAGGAGGCTGATGGGCTGCGCCCTCACAGGAATGGGCAAGGCATGGCCCTAATGAATCTGGCTCCAAGCACAACCCATCCAGCTAAAGCCTGGGGACTGGGAAAGGAGGAGGCCCAGGGGGCAGAGCTGGGATGACACCTCAGGAGTTAGGGTTACCAAGCAACTGAAGAAGACGCAGGAGCAGCTCCTAGCTGAGCATGCCCCCGGGGGCAGCACCGAGGATGCCTGGGGGGTAGTGCTGAGTCAGTGATAGGGGAGAGGGTTGGGGAGGGAGGGCTCACTTTGCCCAGTCAGATTGGGAACCTAGATCCTTGGATTTTAATGATCACGTGGGAGACATAAGACAAGATCTTGGACAGAGGAGGTAAATATCTGGTTGTATTTTATCCAGTATATTCTCACCTTAGAGTGAGATCATATTTAAGAAGATTAAGTCCCCTGTATCGATGGAACTTAATAAAGAGTTCAAACAGACTCTTTCAAAATTTTTAAATGTATGTTAAACTTTCCATCATGGAACATTTTACCCACTGCCTCCCATCACCTGGATTATCTGGAAGCAAAACCCAGTCATGGAACCATTTCACCCATAAATAGTCCAGTCAGTATCTCTAAATTTAAGAGCTGTTATTCTCAGCCCAGGGCAATTTTGCCCCCTAGGGGAGATTTGGCAATATCTAGAGACCTTTTTTGTTTGTACAAGGTTGGGGGTGGGGTGTGCGCCCTATCGGAAGGAAGCCAGGGTGAAACAGGGCTGCTACGAAACATTCTACAAGGCACAGGCCAGCACCTCACGACAAAGAACTATACGGCTCAAAATGACAATTGTGACAAGGTTGAAAACCATGTTTTAGAGTCTAAAAGATAAGAACACACTAAATAAATCACTACAATATTGTTAGCATTCATAAAAAACTAACAATAATTCCTTAATATCATCAATTATCTGATAATATTAAAATTTCCCCAATTGTTCTGTAAATTTTAAAAATTGGGGGTTTAAATCAAGATCCAAATAAGGCTTACACATTGCAATTTGATGATATATTTCTTTTTCTTTTTTTCCTGCATCCAGTCATCCATTATGGTTGATAGATTTCTTAGATCTCCTTGAATATTCAGGTTCTCATCCCTCTTTTTTCCTTGGAATTCATTATAAAACAGATTTATTTTTAATTGCAAAAGAGTACACAAGTACATTCCTGATATCAAAATTGAAACGCACAGGGGAAGCAAACATTTCCTATCTATAACGGTCCAGGCCAGGTGTGGTGGCTCACACCTCTAATCCCAGCATATTGGGAGGCTGAGGTGGAAAGATCACAAGGTCAGGAGATGGAGACCATCCTGGTTATTGGTAAAACCTCATCTCTACTAAAAATACAAAATTTAGCTGGGAATGGTGGCATGTGCCTATAGTCCCAGCTCCTCAGGAGCCTGAGGCAGGAGAATTGCTTGAACCTGGAAGGCAGAGGTTGCAGTGAGCCGAGATCGTGCCACTGCACTGCAGCCTGGGCGACAGAGCGAGACTCTGTCTCAAAAAACAAATAAACAAACAAACAAAACAGTTCAATCCCAGTCCTTTCCCCAAAGAACTAATTTATCAAAATTGTGTTTGTATTGGTTAAGATTATATTCAACTGACTGGGCACAGTGGCTCACACCTGTTACCCCAGCACTTTGGGAGGCCGAGACAGGCAGATCAGCTGAGGTTAGGAATTTGAGACCAGCCTGACCAATATGGTGAAACCCTGTCTCTACTAAAAATACAAAAATTAGCTGGGCGTGGTAGTGTCCTCCTCTAGTCCCAGTTACTCAGGAGTCTGAGACAAGAGGATTGCTTGAACCTGGGAGGGCGAGGTTGCAGAGAGCTGAGGATCGTGCCACTGCACTCCAGCCTGGGTGACAAAGCAAGACTCCATCTCAGAAAAAAAATATATATATATTCAACTACAAGTTTCAACAAATAACAACAAAAGCTTTAATATTATTTATTTTTCAGAAAGATAAGCCAAGAGATAGGCAGCCCAGGGCTAGCATGGCATCTCCATGAAGTTTTTAGGGTACCAAGTTCCTTCTAGCTCCCTGCCCTACCGTCTGTGAATGTGGTCCTCATCCTCATGGTCCACAATGGCTAATGGAGAACCATCCCTCTTAGCTATATTCTAGGTAGCAAGATGGAAAAGTGGAAGGACATAGCTCTCTTTATTAGTTTGCTAGGGCTGCTGTGACAAAGGACCACAAATTGAGTCACTTACACAGCAGAAATATACTTATTGTCTCACAATTCTCATGGTTCTGCTTGCCAGAAGTCCAACATCAATGTATTAGGCAGGATTGGTTCCTTCTGAGAACTGTAAGGAAAAATCTGTTCCATGCCCCTTCCCTAGCTGCTCGCGATTGGCTGCACAGCTTTGAGTTTTCTTACCTTGTAAAGCATCACCTCAATCT